GGGTTGTGCCCAGAGTGGCCACCAGGGCTTCCTGGGAAGGGCTGGAGGCCCCCTATTTCAAATTAAATGTCTACACGGCACTTAATTCAAAATAGCTATTTCAAATTTGGCATTACTCCTCGTAGAATGAGGTTTACCAGATTCGAATTAAGCTTTCCACTATTTCAAATTAATTTTGAAATAGCAGTTTGCATGTATAGATGCTATTAAAGTTAATTTGAAATAACGGCTGGTATTTTGAATTAACTTTGCAGTGTAGACATAGCCAGAGAGATAAAGCAGTTCACCAGTTCTCCATGTAATCAGTCATTGAGGTACCGCTCTCATTCCTCTAAGATTTCTACCTAAGAGCAGGATAACTATTTTTACTATAATTAAATGGACACAAATACCACAATGCTCACTCCCTCTTGATATATGAAACAATTTAAGATACCTTAGAATGATCATGTTAAATTAAGGCTGTCATTTGTAACAGCAATTTCTCCCAAGCATTTTGGAGGGTAGTGAGCCAGTGACACTAAATATAACTAAAACAGTGAAGTTGTAGAAACATGTCCCTCTAACTGAGTTTGTGGATAATATTATTACTAGAGCTAGTCAGAAAATATTTTTTCCCTGAGGGAAAATTTCAAAAAAAATATTTCCAGTGGAAAATTTTTGACATTTTATTTAAAAAAATCACTTGAATATATTCCAGTTATTGCCCACCAATAACTAGTATACTTTCAGCCAAAAAAAAAAAAAGATTTTGGGAAACAGAAAAAATATGTTGAAAACTACTGAATGCTGGTTTTACTCCTGGAATTTCAGGACTTGAGCTATTGATTCACTGATTAATGTTTTGACAGAAAATATTCAACCAGCCCTAATTATAATGGTGGGTACCCCCCCTTGAATGTGAACTAATTACTTAAGAAAATGTCTGAGTTATCTAAATAATTCCACCTCAGCATTTATAATATCCAAGTTATTCCCCGTGGTAATTTTTAGCTGAAAACAGTGAGATAATCAAATCAAACAAGTTCTAAGGGTGCTTTAACTAGAATTTGTGTGCGTCAAGGAATGTTAATGCATGTGAACTATTATTTTAACTTTTTAAGAAAAAAATGACTAATTGCCATGAAACTGGGCTGTGGCAATCATGTAGTGCAATGTAGGAGAGAAATACATGTGTAGTATGGTAAATTACATAAGAGCCTGAGTGATCCCAAACCCACTGAAGACCAAACCTACTGACAGTGTTTTCTATTTACTTCAGTGGGCTTTGGCTCAAGTCTGCAGTGAAGTTGGGATGGTAACTTTCAATGCAGTGAAATGTATCCCCTTACTGACAATGCTGTGCTAAGCTACACATTGTCACTATGCAGTAGGTGGCTTGTTGGATCTATGGAGATGAGCTGCTAGAAAAGATGGTCACCATTACAGGTTCTTTATATACACGTTCCTCTACGTTTCCTCCCTCTCCCCACAAAAAACAGAGGATCCCAACCACAAATGGATCTGTTAAACAAAATAACAGGTGGAAATGGCATGTTACAGAAGCTAACAGAATGGTCGAATTAAAGACCTCCCTGCCGTGAGCAGAACCAGAGTAGTCAGAAAGTGCATGGTGTTAAAGGCAAGTAACTTAGTAAAGCTCTCTAAGGCTAATGTCTATACTGCAGAGCTATTTCGGGATACAGGAAGAATCCTGAAATAGCTATTCTGCGTCTTTTGAGCGCACCCGTTATTTTGAAATATCACAGGCACGCTATTCCAACATCCCTGTAAACCCCGTTCCATGAGAATTAAGGGAAATTTCAGAATAGCATTTTATTTCAATATTTGGTGCTGTCTACACAGTGCCAAATTACGAAATAAGCTATTTTGAAATTAAGTCAAAATAAGCTACCCAATTTGTGTAGCTCAAATTGCGCAGCTTATTTCGAACTAAGTCAGCAGTGTAGATGCACCCTAAATGCCATCATCAGAAAACTCTTAACAACAATTAGAGTGACCACTTTTGAACTGGCATAGTTTCCAACCACCTGCACTCTTTTAAGGACAATCATGTTACGAGGTTCAGGAAAAGAGTAATTTGGTTATAGCCTCATGTGTTCACTGAAACAATGTGAATGGAATGCAAGTGAACTGGTAGGTTCTCCCGCCAGAGAATGCAGGACACGCAGCTGCTGGAATGTGGGCGGTTGTTCTGAGAGACCAGAGATATAATCAGAAAATCTCATTATACTCAGAAGTCTACACAAAGAATCATCTTTCCTTCTCCCAGAAAACTGAAATAATTTGCTTTCAGTTAATATTTTCTTCTTCCTGCTGCAATAACTCAGATACCTGCAGCCTGTACAAAGAATGCTCTGGCCAAAACATAATCATCTACTTCTAAGTCTTTTAATATTGCTTTAAAAATAAATCATTCAGACATTATTCTGTCCAGTATGTCAGCTATTCTTTTGCTCTGTCCAATATCCTGTTGGTAATTTTGCTTACTGCAAAGCCAAGAACAATAAACTTGTGACCAGGTCAGAAAGCCAACAGATATAAAAGGCCTGATTCTGCTCTTACATGGGTGTAATTCCAACCACTTGCATGGGACTTGGGAGATATTTAGCCTCAATTTTTTGCTTCTTGCTCCAGAACAATATGTTGAGGAAAACAGCTACTCTGAAGCCAGAGTCGATAAAGGTAAGCCTATTGAGACTGGCAGTTCAGGGTAATGGAGCTTGCAAATGGTAAATAAGCAGTAAGCAATGAGACCAATATCTTTTCCATTTGCAGGATTTCAAACAGCAAGGTAGACCTATCTGAAACTTTCCATCAGTTTAATTTATAACTCTACTTCAAGTCATGAAGTTTAAGGCCAGAAGGGACTATTGGGTCATTGAGCTTGACCTTTGGTGTGTCACAGGCCACCAAGAAGTTGCACATCCAAAATTAGACCTCAGTGTTATATGAGGGTACATCTACACTGCAATAAAACACCTGTGCGTGGCCTGCGGCAAAAGACTTGGGCTTTTGGGACGTGGACCATGAGGCTATAAAATTGCAGCCTACATGTTTGTGCTTGGGGTGGAGACTAGGCTATGGAAGCCCAGGACTGAGGAGGTTCTCCCAGGAGACCAGAGCATAAGCAGAGAATGGGAGGAACCAATATGCACCAATGCCTGAAGTCCCTGCAATGGCAGGGAATTGATTAAGTAAGATTTACCCAGATAATCCCAGCAAGGGGCCTGCATCCAATGCTAGAGGAAGACAATCCCTCCTTCTTCTACACCTCTCCCTTCCCAAAGTAGATCATTGCCAATTTGACGTTGGGGGAAAATTCCTTCCTAACCCCACGAATAGAGATCAGTTAGACCCTGAGCGTCAGAGCAAAAACCAGCCAGCTAAGCGCATGACAGTGGGAACGCTCAACCCCACCACACAGCACTGGCTCATCCTGTCCTGTGTCCCAGCTTCAGCTATGGCCACCTCTGACGCTTCAGAGGAAGGAGACAACCCTCAACCCCCGAAACAACTGCAAAGCAAAATAACCACTCCCCCGGACGTGTTGTCAAGCTCCTCTAAATGCTTGGCAACATTCATCAAAGTGGATCTGCATCACCCGTTCATCACTTCAGAGATTACCTATGTCTGTGCTCCACTCATCATTTGTTCGCTTAAACCATTTGATTGCCAGGCTCTTGTTCGTTTGCTATGTTACCATTCCCCTCAGGAAACAGTTTGGTGTCATTTAGCAAAATTTAAATGAACTATAGAAATTAGTCTAAAAACCAATAGATAAACCTGTAGAGAACTAGCATTTTCCATTAACAAGTCTATTTCCCTGTGGGTTGAAAAAGATGTCGCAATTAAACAAGCAGGTGGGTTTTACCTGAGGCATTCAGCAGCACTAGTATAAAGTAGGCATCTGCCAGATGCAGCTCTATAACCAAGACAGAGTTACCCCCTGACCTCATTGAAGTCAATGGTAATGTACCACTGATTTCATTCAGATCCACATTTATCTCTGAGTGGGTTGTTTGGGTTTTTTTTTTTTTTTGGGCAGAATCACCTTCAATTATTGGCAGAATCATCTTCAATTATTTCCTATCACACTATTGTGGGCTTCATAGGAGGATTAAAGAGGATGCAATTTTACTTACCTAAAACCCACTTCATGATTAGCAATTCTGTCCATGAGAATTGAGTAGTTTTTACTCGAAATATTTGTTTGGGATGATCCGTGATGGTCTCATTGGGAAGATTTTTTACTCCTTCAAACCGGTCGGAGGCATTCACTACTAACAGTCCAAGGAAGATTGTAAAAGAAACTGCATGTGCCACAAACTTCATGAAAGGGCTTCGTAGGATCCGTCCCAGCTGAAAACAAAATGTATACAAGACAACATGAAGGGATTAATTATTATTTATGATTATTAATTTTATTTTCTGAGTCTAGTTCCCATGTTTCTAGTGTTTCTCTCTGTAACAAATCAGAGTGTTTATTCTTTAGTAGTGTGTGAACAGATTTATTGGGCATAACCTTTCGTGAGGAAAAAAAAGCCCCGTGAACTGCATCTAACAAAATGGGATTTTGCCCATGAAAACTTATCTCCATATAAATCTGTTAGTCTTTAAGGTGCCACGAGGAGGGGGGGGAGAGCTTTTTTCCTCATTGTTTTTTCTTTGGAAGCTTGTTGAAAACTCCAGAATGGAGCTAATTTTCATGTATTAAAGTATATAGAAAATATTTTCTTTTGCAACTTCCAGATCACATGCAAAGAATTATGAATTAGGCTGTTCATTTTCTGTAGGTATTAGGATGTTACACTACTCTGTTACTACCCACAGATGTATGCATGATATCTAAATTGTCCAGTTCATTCTAAAACAGACCTGAACAAGGAAATGTATTTTATAATTTTCATGTGTATTTTTATATAAAGATGAAAGAACAGTTGCATCTTAGAATATTATGGACCTAATTCTCTCCTTCACCACAGTCTAAATGGATATAAATCCGACCTTGCTTTCAGATAATAAATCTCTGTGATAGCTGATTAGGAGATCACTCACTAATTTGTCTGACAATGTTTTCTAGGAAAGATGTTATTTGATAACATTCTTTTCATATGCATCAGCATGATAATAATTAGAAAATATATTTATGACAGTTACAGAGTTTCTCAGTATACCCTTGTGTATTACTTTAATACAATAAGTGAAGAAGTGCTGTTAAGTAGTGATCTGAGCCAAGTTCTTTTCAGAGTAACTAAAATTGCTCTCATCCTTATTGAGAAACACTCTTACTTAGCTATCTAATTAGAAAACCCTTATCACTTTATGAATTTCCCCTGAATTAAGAATATATTACCTTTGAAAGAATATGTCAAAGCTAGTAGTATGATTATTTATTCTTGGACCAGTGCCATCATAAAGAGACACCAATTATACAAATGCTTTTTCTCCATATAGTAGGGATGAACGATTAGTCTCCAAACCTTCCTTTAAGAATCAAAACATTAGATACAAACACTGAAGGGATATAGGGAAGGTTTCTCTCCCTCCCTCATACAATTAATTCCTCAAGATAAAGCACTTCTCTAGTCTTTGGGTGCGTCTACACAGCACCCAAAACTCAAAATAAGCTATGCAATTTGTGCTACGCAAATTGTGTAGCTTATTTTGAGTCTATTTCGAAATAGCTTTTTTTGTCATTGGGTGCTGTCTACACAGTGCCGAATTTCTGAATAAAGCGCTATTTTGAATCATCATAGAATGAGGTTTACAGGGATGACGAAATAGCGCGTGTGCTATATTTCAAGCTAGCAGATGCATTCAAAAGATGTGGGGTGGCTATTTCGGGTATCCCGAAATCACTTTGCTGTGTAGACATATCCTTTGAAACAGGGTTTCAGTGGTTAAATCTACATTCTGCTTTAGTTCATTCCTTGTTTCTGTAGAGTCTTTATATCCAGTCAATATGAAACAGTAAATATTTTAAAACCCAGAAAACTATGCTGGGATTCATTAGCTTTAGCAAAATTTGGACAATATAGTTTCTTATATCTTTCTCATATCTGACTTTCTAAAATACATAACTTTTAAAAAAGATTGCCAAAGCTAGTAAACTCACTGAAAAATTCAGGTCATGTCAAATTCCTGGAAGAGTTTTCCTAATGTGGGAATAGAAAAACAGGATCCTTATCTCATCCCTAATGCAGCAGTGCACTAAGTCCCATTGAGGTCACTTAGAAATGCTTTAGGTTAAAGATTGGCTTAATGGTTTGCCATATTGAGTTCTGAGTTGCCATGGCAAATGATAGCTTTGTCTAAGCTGGGAGATCTTGCAAAAAAGTGTCCCACCATTGCTGCTACTGATTCAGCTCCCCCATAGCCAGAAACAGTGGATGAAGACATGTTTATGAAGGTTTAGAACTGATACAATGCATTCAAAGATGGTGACTGCATGAAACCCTTCTATACTTGCACTCCCACCATCTTGCTACCACTGACAGCTAATCTCCACTTACGGGGAGAGTGATGCTGCGAAGATCAAGCTTTCAAGGCTCAATGTAGTGGGTCTAGTAAGGATCCACTAAATTGACTGCTGATGATGCCCCCATCGATTCTGATACTCCACCAAGCCATGAGGAGTAAGGGAAGTCCATGGGAAAGTTTCTCACATGAATCTCCCACAATGGGGACGCTGCAGACATTTGACCTAAGCAAATGTAGTTGGAGTGGCATATCTTAGGTCAATTTTCTCTCCAAGGGTAGACCTGACCAGAGAGAACTGAATTGCTGATAGGAAAGGCCGAAGATCTTGGAAAAATGTCTCAGAGTAGATACAGCCTCGGGAGCTGATTGTAAAACTCACGTGACCAGCTCTAATTCATAAATAAAGTACATTCATCTTTATCATGTGAATAAAGGTTTGCATTATATATTGGAATATGTGCTGGTATCCCCTCTGAAGAAATCTCCATGGTTTTTGATCCCTTTATGAATAAATGTAGTAAAAATGGTTTGAGTTGGTTTCCATTTGCATTTCAGCATTCATTTTGGTTCAGAGAGCTGATACTGAAACTGATCAGTGCTAAAGGTCTCTCTGCCTGTTTGCAACAGATGGGGCAAGAAAATCTCCAGGTGTGGATCTTTCTTGCCTGAGTTCTGTGTTTAAATGTTAAACTTCATTGAGTTTAAAACTAGATAAGGTAGAAACCTTGCTCCAAACCATGAAACAAAATAGAAAACGTTTGTTCTGAGGTTTCAAACAAGAAAAGTATCATGGAGACTCCCTTGTGATTCATTTTTCATCTACTTCACTTCACAGCAATGAACGCCGGAGGGAACCTCACTCTGCAATAGCTCGGGGAAGAGAAGCGTATACGGAATGCACTTTAGGAGGGTTTATGTGTTTCATTCTTGACCTTTCTTGCTGTTCTGCAATTTCTCTTCCACTTGATTTTACATTGAAAAAAATAGGAAATAAAGTAAGATGAGATACATAACCCACTGGAGCATTGAAGTGTGGTTCCGTAGAGACTTCCTTGAGGGCTGACACGCTGCTTTTCTACAAGCAACATTTTGGGAAAAATTTCAATGGGAGTCTGGTGAGTGAAATCATATGTGAGTGTATAACCCAAGCATGGCTTCAAGTCAGGAAAGATTTAAGTTCCTGGTTAAATGCTCTCTCTTTTTTTAGGACAGTTTGTAAACACACACAAAAAATTAAGCTTGTGCTTAGCTACTGTGCTACATAGGGATACTGCCTGGAATCAAAGCTTCATGTCCAGGAGAGTATGCAGGTGAATACATGCCTAAAATTTGGGGTGAGTAGATCGATCTGACAAGCTAGGAGCTGGCAGAAATCCTGGGGAGACAGATCTTTCTATCCATAGGAAATGTTTTTAAAATTCCCTACCACTTCTCATATTGTTTCAGTTCCACCACTTAGGGTACATCTACGCTCTGCGGAAGATCGTCACTGCTACAGTCAATCTTCTGGGGTTCGATTTAGCGGGTCTATATAGGCCCGCTAGATCGAACTAAAAGGGTGTCCCCATCGGCGCCAGTACTCCTGCTCCTCATGAGGAGTAAGGGAAACCAATGAGAGCATTTGTTCCCATTGGCCACCAACTGTGTGGATCATTCAGAAACATGGTGTGAGATGCATCAATGCCAGTTCTGTAATTTACATAGCTGGACTTGTGTATCTTATTTTGACCTTCCCATGTAGGATAAACCAGGCCTAAGAGCCCTTGTGTAGACAGTGCACCTGCCACCAATACCATTTGAAGCTCAGCATTGGTCTATAGTTGCACACTGGGGCTACATCTAGACTACAAGCCTCTTTCAAAAGAGAGCGTCTAGACTGCAACCACTTCTTTCAAAAAAGCGAGCCACTTTTTCAAAAGAGAGCACCCAGGCAGTCTGGATGCTCTCTTTCAAAAAAGCCCTGTTTGCATTCAAGAACTCCTTTTTTCAAAAGAGCACTTTCGAAAAAAGGCGTTTTTCCTCGTAAAACAAGGGTGTCCACAGTCGAAAAAACCACCGTGTTATTTCGATTTAATTTCGAAAGAACGCGGTGGCAATCTAGACGCAGGGGAAATTTTTTCTAAAAAAGGCCACTTAAAAAAAACAAAACCTTGTAGTCTAGACACACCCAAAGACTGTCACATTGGAAGTCCTTGGGTGAACAAAGTTTTTAACACCATTGCTGATGTTAGTAGTAGGGGGGAAATTTTGAAAATTGCTGTTAGTAAGGAGAGGGCCACTGGACAACACTCCTGATCCATACCTGGCATAGAATATAATTTTCCACACAAACATCAATCAGTCCAAGACAATGTCAAATGAGAAAGGCCTGAAGGCAGCTGAGGGCATATTGAACACTGCCTAGAACTTCTTAAGAAACTCATTTTTAATTTATATGTGCCCAGTTCTATTCTGAATTAAAAGGGGAAGAGAGAGGGAGAGCTTCAATGGAGCATAAATTGCCTCTGAATTATTAGGTGCTCCCTTCTGCCAATGTACCATTAGAAAAACTTATCTATTGCATTACTGAAGGAAGCTTCGTGGTTTCTTTTCTTGACGTGCACACACGCACACACACTTTTAAAAGCCGCAATCTAGTTAAATTCTGGGTGCATAACCTACTTGTTTGTACTATTGTCCTCATTATCTTATTAATTCAAAACATCGCTTTTCATCAAACAGGAATGCAATGAAGTATTTGATTGTCACCGGCAAAGAGGACAGCAACAATCACAGAATGCAAATAGCAAAGCGTCCTTTCGAAAGAATGGCTTGTTTCAGGACTGCACATTGGTTATGTATATTTGGAAAAGAAAGAAAGCTAGGAGACATAGCAAAGA